GGCAAATAACATTAAACAACGAAACTGATTCAAAAATAATTCACAGACAAACTCTTATAATAAATCATCAGACTAAATTATGATAAATGTTTAAAGCAGATCTACAGACTCTCCAAATAAATCACTGAACATTCTTTATTTTCCAATAAACAGTCACTTGTTGACTCTTCTTCGGTGGTTCAGTGCTGTTAACTCGGAGCGAGAAGGTCCTGGGTTTGAATCTTGGTCGGGGGTATTTCTGCATGGAGTTTGCCTGTTCTCTCTTTAGGTGTGGGTTCTCTCAGGGTACTCCAGGTTCCTCATAGCCTTTAAACACAGTTAGGTTATTAGTATCTATATTGACCTTTGGTGTGTGGGTGTGTGTGCATGGTTTTATCTCTGTGTTGTCACGATCTGGCAGCCTGTCCAGCATGTTTAATAATAATATAATAATAATACATTTTATTTGTATTGCACTTTACATTTAAAAAAAAATCTCAAAGTGCTACAAAATTCATAGTTAAAACAAAACCGTACAATAAAAACAGNAAACAAAGCTCTGCCTACGCAAACCTGTTTTAACAAACAGATTAATTAAATCCTCTCTATATGTCTTTTTAATCATCAAACTCAGATAGATAATTAAATAATAACAGACAGACAGACTTGTACACACAAGTGTATACAAAAATATATTTTCTTTAGTACAGCTCTCTAGACTTTTTCATTTCTTAAAGTGCAGCCTTGACAAAGGTAAGCAGCAGTGATAAAAAAACACTGTGATGAAAATAACACTGTGGTGAAAAAAAGTGATGTAAACATTTGACTGTATAGTTACACTTCCAACATTCAGGTTTTTTTTAATATATATTCTACATCTTCATCCGTCAAATTTTTTTCCAACTGCGGTTTTATTATTGATCATCCACTAGATCTATTCCAAATCCACTATTGCCAGGAAGACAAAAATAAACTAATAAATCTTGTTTGATTTGTGCTTTACTCTATCATGATGTATGAAATAAATGGTGTGTTAAATTATCTAATGGTGGATATAGACATTTTATGATATATTTGTCATAGTCTTTGTTCTGTTCTGTTTTTCTTTTGTGTATTCTGTTTTACTTTGCTCAATGTTTCTTGTTTTAGTGGTTTAATTCTTATTTCGTTGTGTTTTCTGGTTGTCTTGAGGTTTTTATTTGTTGCCCTCTGCTGCCCTCTTGTGTTCTCCTCTTTTTCTAGCTCTTTTCCTGTCTGCTCTGTTCACATCTGCTCCCAATCTGCTTATTAGTCCTCTCTTTGTTTCAGTCTCCCATAAATACCCTCTCTGTTCAGTTCTTCAGTGCTGGTTCCTCGTCAAATTTCCTCCAACTCTGTCTCTCTGAGTCTCCCTCCTCGTGATTGTCTTTCCCCTGATGTCTCCATGGTTTCTGGTTTGTTTCAGTTTTTATTTTCATGTTTTTCATTTTTTTAGATTTTTGGATTCCTGCCTAGTTTCTGGTTTGTTTGGACTTTTTTCATGTTTGAGTTTTTGGATTATTTGATTCCTGCCTCAGCTGTTTATCTGTTAACATTTCATTAAACCAGCAAGAAACTCACCTCTGCCTCAAACCACAACCAAATGTATTTATTTTTGTCCCCTTTGGCCCTCCATATAACCATCACAAATCTTAGGTGAAAGGTTCATTTGAAAATATATAATTAAAAATATCAAAAGAA